ATTTAAAAAGAAACTATGGGAATCAGTGCTGTAAAAGTTTTTCTTGTATTTTCTTTATACTTACTATAAGTATACGCAATTATATAGGCTTGTAACTGCTTGTTATATTCCTAGCTTGGGAACTGACCTTATCTAAGAATATCCATATGCTATAGTGATACATTTTGAAATTGTTAGAGAAGTAAGAGAACGTGCAGTAAAATCCTAAGGATATTTACTCAGAACACAATGAAATTTGTTTCTGTGTGACTGGGTCACAAGAGCTATAGTTATTAATAATGCATCACATTTTTAATTCTTCAGAATATGTTTCATGTTTCTAAGTATTTTTCAGGATCCCAATATACTTGTGAAAAAATAATCAACAACATGTATGTTAAAGTATGTAGTTCTGTTTAGAGCTCCCTGTGACAGTAATGTAAAAATAAATTCCTAATAAAGTAAATCACCCCTATTAAACATATATCTGTACATTTATAATCTAATCTTCACTGACCTCCACTGGTAGAAGCCAATCAGTTTATCTGCATAATCTGCATCTTGTGCATAATATTACATATACTAGAAAGCGAGATAATGTCTATAAGTTCAAGCAATTAGCCAACAAATAACAAATATTCATAAAGAAATCTTAGTTACCATCAACTCACATGGTTTTATATGCAAGAATCAAAAAATTGATGTAAAACCCCCCCAATACATTTAGAACTTCTTAAACTTGTGTACTGAGAACAATGGGAGTTAGATATTCATGAGCAGGTATGCAGAATACTGCAACCAAAACTCGTAAGAAAGCTGTACGTAGCTCTTTTTTATCCAATGGGGATTTGAATTCATACCTCTGCGCTTCATTGCTTTGAAACTTGAAGACAGTTTCTGTTACAAACATGAGCATCTGGTGCCTCAACCAAAAACAAACAAAAAAAGTTAAACATCTTGCTGGATATATGTTATATTTTGGCTGCATTTATAGCAACTCTCTGGCCAAAGACTACACAAGATGTTCACAGAAGTAAAAATGTGAAGAAAACCAATTAGATCCAATTTGCAGATGTGATGCCAGGAGTAAAATTTGCCCATGAAAGCCATTTACAGCTGTTTCAGAACAGAATATAGATAGCTGTATGTGATCAGTATGTGTGCAGAGATAGACTGAATGGGTGTCATACAGATACAAGCAGAAATGCTTATGAGCAGTGGTCTTGGGGCTGAAACTTATATTTTCTAGTTAAAATTGATATTAATGTCAGAAGCAGAATGTGCCTTGCAGTTGACTAGAATGAAAGAAAAGCAGTTTAAGCAACACCTTTAATATTTAGATGGCCTTGATGAATAGTTTCTCAAAGGTTAGTCCTCATTACTCTATGTATTTCCTTGACATACATCCATGTAAAAGTTTTGGCCTACAGGTGCTCCCTTTTCATTAAATCAGGGCTGGCTTTGGAATATTCACTGAGAAATATACTTTTAAGACATCAAATATATTGGTCAATTTAAAAAGATAGGCTCTATTTATAATTTGTCCACCATTCCATTATAAATTGAGGTATCTAACCAAAGCATTGATCAGGGGTTTCTTCAGTGAGGAACTTCTAAGCAAACTGAACAAAAGGTTTAGAGAAGAATACCAGTGGAGCACAGAGATTTTGCAGTGTGAGATGTAATTCTGATTAACTTACAAACTGGGATAAGAACTGCTGCCATAGTGATCAAGAGTTTGAACAAGATCTGCGTCCAGCCCACACAGAACATTGCTTTATGAGAACATTATAGAATTGAAAGTCTGACTCAGTCTAAAGAGGAAAACATTGTGTCACGATTTAAAGCACAGCAGAAGCATTATTAAAATCATGCTGATTTATTTTATAACACAAACTTTAGTAGGAATTATATATTTGCTGAGACTGAAAATGTTAACCAAATCACTAGAATTAAGTTCATTCTGAAAGGGCACGATGTAAGATAGGGGGAAAACAACACATACATACATCTGTAATGCATATTTAAGTTAGAGTAGAGATTATCTTATAGGAGATAAATACATTTTTATACAATTATCAAGCATTCTCTGGGCAGCCTGCTTTCTTCATGGTTAAAGAATACATAACAGAAATCAGCATTTTTTGCAGCACCACAGAAAGGCCTTCAGGTTTATAGTAGAGCACTTTCAATTTCTCAGCCTCTAACTACAAGTCTACTATGCTGATTCCAATGCAACTGCTTATTTTGGGAAATCCTGAATAGCTTTATAGGCATTACTAGTTAGTGTCTAACAACACAGATAAGAACGGGCTGTGGCAAATGGCTGGCAGTGCTAGGAAGAAATCACTTAATGATAAATCTCTCAAATCCATTTAAGTTTATCTCTTCATTACAGTCTCCTATGTTCAGAAAGAAGTTCATGCACAATCAGCCAGTCATCAGGAGGACCAAATAATGGATAAAACTATTAGTTTTATAAATGGATAAAACTATTAGCCAACTGACGCCCCAGTGGAAGAGTGGGTGTTTGAGACAAATGTTTACTGTTTCTCAGAACTATCTCAGAGACTCACTGCAGTAGGTAAGTTTTATTACTTTTTACCCCAAAATTGAACATTCTAATCACCTGGGTAAGAGAAAATGAACAGAAATTGAAAAAGCTTAAGAATGATGATGATAGTAATGGGAGGGCCTTTGCACACCTTCTGGACCAGGAGGCTTTGCTCACAGTCACTCATGCTCTCATGACCTCTCGTCTGGATTACTGCAACACGCTCTACACGGGGCTGCCCTTGAAGAGCATTGGGAAGTTTCAACTGGTGCAGAATGCAGGTGCAGGGGTAGTAAATGGTGTCAGATATTTGACACATGTAACACCACTTCTACATCAGCTGCATAGGTTGCCAATGTGCTTCCAGGTGCAATTCAAGGTGCTGGTTGTCATCTTTAAAGCCCTTCACGGCTTGGGACTGGGTTACCTAAGGGACCATCTTCTCCCAGTTGTTTCTACTGTCTAGTTCGGTCTGGCAGGTTGGGCATGTTACAGGTCCCATCAGCCAAGGAAGGTCAGCTGGGGGGGACTAGGAGACATGCCTTCTCAGCTGTAGCCCCTGCCCTCTGGAACATTCTCCCTTCGGAGATTAGGATGGCTCCGACCCTGTTGGCCTTTCATAAGGCCGTGAAGATCTGGTCACATGCCTGGGTGTGAGGCCCCAAGTGTGTTAAGGGCTTTGTTTCTTGGCTATATTAACGTCTATGGCAATAGTTTTACTCAGTGACCATATATATTTATTTTCATTGTTTTATGTTTTTATGACTGTATGCCACCCAGAGTCATTTGCTGAGATGGGCAGCTACAGAAATCAAATACATACATACATACATACATACATACATACATACATACATACAATCTCATACAGAAATATGCAGTTGTGCAGCCTGTATATTTAAACTGAAAGTAACTCATGAGCCTTGCAAACTTTTAAAAAGCATATATTTCATTAAATAGGCTGTAGAAAGTGAAATCAAATAATACGTAATACTGAATAATGAATAATGAAAATGGTGCAAGGCAAGTAGTTTGCAATGGGTGCACGCAACATGATTACCAAAGTATAGAAAAAATGAGGCAAATATTCAAATAATTAAAATAGGTAAAGGAAATACAATGCCTTTAAAAAAATATGTTGACTACACCAATGTGTAGCATTGCTTAATTTTATTCACCACAAGAAGTGAAGTCTTTATTCAGTGTTCAAGCACAACCAAATCCATTGTGGGTTACGCATGAGAACTGAAAGAAATCCCTGAGTCTTAGGGATTTACATTGTTTTATTGCAGTGGAGAATAAGATCCATGTTATACCAGTGCCTGACTATAATAAAAAGTTGAAATACAAAAGGCTGCCTATATAAAGACATACTAGCTTTTGAGAATATATGAAGTTTCTCAGTTCATCTAGGCTAGCCTTGTCTATTCTGACAAGAAGTGGCATTCCAAATCTTAAGCAGATGTGCCTGTCAGCTCTGTTATCTGAAAGCCTTTTATCTTTGGAAGCCACTGTCTTAATTTAGGCTTGACTGTGTACAGTGGATAACATTGTGCCATTTCCCTACAGATGCTGCAGCTAGGTTTACAAAAAAGAAAAGTTGGATTAGGACACTCTGAGTCTGGATGGACTTTCAATATAACTGGCTACAGAGGGTTAGGGTGGAGTTAAGAGAGAATTGCATAGATGAAGAGTGAAAAATAAATGTAAGAAAGAATACATATATGAAATAATATGTAATGCACACCAAACATTCTTTTAACAGGAGAGTGCAAACCAAAGCAAACTATAGAGATGCTAAGAAACACGTATCAGTTATATACTATCTTCATATCAAATTTGAATAGTTGCAAGAAACAGTACATTACCCTCAATACATCTACAAATCATAATCCACATTATAAATGAGCCTGCATTTAAATGGTTTGGCTGTGTGGAGAAATCCTGTTCAGGATTTTCTAAAGTATGGTTTAATTACCCTCCCCATTGTTCATTTTCCTCTGACTCAGTTTTTTATTCCCACAGAGCATGCTCAATCTTTCACTACCCCTTTTCCTCTTCCCCTTCCTCATGTTTTAGTTTCTTTGCTTTATTTCTACTAGGTGAACAGTCTACTGAAGTCTGTGGACTTCACTATAATCAAGCCTATATTTTCATGTACTTCTGAGATGTCTTAAAGAACAGAGAGGTGACTGGAATAATGAATAGTAGGTACAAATAAATATTGAATTAAAATGATGTGTCACAAAGATGCATTAAAACTCAAAAACTAGAGAGGAAGTGGTGTTGTGCTCTTTGCCATTCATTCCCATATTTGGAAATTAAATGTTAAGTAAAAAAGAGTGGCTAATGGCTAGCAGACTTCCATTATATGATTTTGATAATGTTCCTCATAAGGTAAAATGGTGGGTTCAAATCTATGCTGAAAGGGAAACCAGAAGCTAGTGTTTAGTGTTCTAGCTATTCTAGAAAAATGATTTTCAATGTAAAAGAAGAACAAATATTTAGGTGTGAGCTCTGCACATCATGATCACACTATATTGTATCATTCCTATTGGTGACAGTTTCTCCCCTCAGAGATTGAGCAATATAAACTATTGAAGGTGCACTTGTTTCTCAAAGTGATGTGGGGGGAGGGGGGTTATTCTGTTAAAAGTGAATGGTATCCTTAAAGACAAAGAATAAGTAAATAATATTTTCAGGGACCACATTGGTCCTGTCATTAGCAAGAAGATTATGGGTCATTAAAAGGCATCATGGTGATAGATTTGATTTGCTATCCTTGTAGTGAAAGGATGGCCAGAGATGCTTGTGGGATGTTCTCCTTCAAGTGCCCAAATGACTTTTTTTGGCTTCGGGCATGATGGACCTTCACTTTTGTGGGAATGGGGCAATGAAAGCCATTTGTTTCCTTACATTAGGCAGCAAAATATCTCGAGCCAGTCCTGTCAGAAACAACACTTCATTACTCTTGAGAATCTTTTTGACTTTGGTGGAGGCAGCAAATTATGATTCTTCCTTAGCATTGTTATAGACTGAAGGTCGTTTACTTTTTCCCAGAAAGCTCAATGGCACATTAACACATCCTTTGATATTAGCAAGTGTATTGTTCCAAACAAATTTGCCTCACCTTCATGCATTATAATTTACAGACTTAGTTAACATGATGCAAACATAATTTGGTGTATATGACTTGGATTCCTTAATTGTCTTTTCTAATATTTTTTCTATCCAGGCAAAATCCTATGAGAAAAAAATGGAAAATGAGGGAGAAACAGAAGCTGTCTATCTACCCTGGTGTCTTGCTTCTAGGACTAAATAGGCATTTAGTTCCATCCTTTGTACCTGCCATCTCCAAATAAAGATGAGCTCAAGGAATAATAAGTTGAAAATTTAAAGAGACAAAATTAACAAAATCACATAGCACGGCAGTCTTTTTCAATCAGCATGGTCAACAGCCATTTAGGAAAGCCAGAATAAACATGTTTTATAGCATATGCAGTCAAAGAAGAACAGTTCAAGACCAATGGCAAGTGGAGCACTTGGTGACCTTATCATATGATGATTATAGAGACTAATCCGAAGACCTATTGTGCAAATCCCAGTATTTCATAAAATCAGATTGTAAATTCAGATACTCAGAAGCAATCCTATTTTGTTCAGCAGATTATTTGGAGAATAAGCAATGTAAAGATTGCAGCTGGATTATATTTGCTATATATGGATATGGGAATTAAGCCTAAATTTGTATCCAGTTAAATCTGTTCAGTTTTTTTTTAATTACCAGTAAATCAATGTTAAAGCCATTATTCCATCATCAGAATTGCTACCAATGTTTTATGTCTAAATTTTAAAAATTCATATGATTCTTTCAGTTTGGATAGCATCATTTGCCCAAATATTATGACATGTTAATTATTTTATTCTGCAGTTTAATTCAACCATTTTGCATCCTGCATTCTGTTAATAGTTCAGGATTTCAGCAGACTCACTGGCATCAGTTGTGTTCATGTGGAGTAGCCCTATTCAGCACTCATACCTTCTTTCTGAGGTTCCAGCTCCTTCCTTCTTTAGGTTTTCCATGCTTTTTTTTTTCTTTTCTTTTCTTTTCTCTAGGTTTTCCATGTCTTTTTCATCCAACAACCAACTTTCTATGATCATTGGTCAAGCTCAGTCCTCATTGAGCTGTTTCTCCTTTTAGAGTTTTATTTTGCTTTAAACTTTTGGGGTACAATATTTTTTCACCTGATACTTCCAGCCTTTGCATATAGCTTCTTAAATAAAGCATAAATTCGCTAATGGAATTTAGTGGCTTGGCTCCTAGATATCTGCAAAACATCTTCTTCAAGTGGACCAGCCCCTATCTTCTCAGGTAGGAAATATCTAGGATCTCTGACATATGGGAGGTCTGGGTGGAGGCTAGGAGATAGTGTTTTTTGTAATTGCTCCATCCTTTATAGCAGCCTTCCCAACTGGCATTTAAGAAAACAGTTTAAATAGAGGTCTTCACAGGGCCAGGTAGACCATTTCAGGAAACTGACACCACAAGGAATCCAGTAATGCTACTTTATTGTTATAGGGTACAACAACATGATCTTGAAAGTCTGTCAGAGTTTCTCTTTGTTCCCCCTTACACCAAAAAGAATCAAGATGGGCTTATTTTGAATTTCTTTCTTAGGGCTTTCCCCTTTCTCAAGACTGAATTGCTGTTTTACCTCCCTTAATGGCTCCCCCATTCCAAGGTCATCTCTACATTTCTTTATACATAGAGCCTTTGATCTGTAAAGATTGTTGCCAGATGCTGAGTTGGATTGTGGTTTTCTTGTTTTAATGCAATGGTAGGACTTGTTTTGGAATATGTCCAAATATTAAAACTGTAAATAACTAAGTAAACTAAAATGACAAATGCTATTCAATATAAGTTGGTGTAAAATGAGGCAAGAGGGCAAAGTCCTAACATATGTGCTGATGGGATCTGACTGGTGACTAGCTTAGGGTCATGGGACTGTGATAGACAGGTTGATCCAGCATGTGGCAAGAAGTTCCTGGACTCAAGATTCCATATGTGTTATCACTTTTGCAGGTTTAGTTGGTGGATCACAGTGTTCTAATAAAAAAGGAAAGTACCGTATTTTTCCGTCAATAAGACACCCCC